ACTTTCCGTCTTATCTTCAAAAAGATGAAGTATATTAAGCCGAGCCCATCTCGCAAACTTAATCTGAAGAATTACTTCAATAAGCCGAGCCCAGCCTCGCAGAAAAACAACGACGAGAAACTTGGTATCTAAACCTAAAAAGTTCACAACAAACAGTTCGAAAACAGAAGAAAAAACTTTTGAACGAACTTAAACCTTTTAAAGAAGCACGATAAAAAAAATGATCAGAAGCAACAGAGAACAAGACCGGAGCATATCAGAAATAAGGAGTAACTTAAATAAAAAGCCAAGGACTCCCAATGAGCCCAAGGCAAATCCTTATTCGGCAAATTACACAAACAAATACTAAAGAGAAATTAACAAAGTCATAAACACAAAAAAAAGGAGAAAGAGATAAAGGGAAAACGAGCGAGCTTATGGAGGAACGCTTCTAGAGGCATCGAAGAGAGGAGCGAGGGGCTCGCCAGTAGCTGGATCGATGTCAGTGTTGACCGCATTTCCCTTACGATCACCCAAGACTGAGTCATCCACTAGACTCGAGATCGGGGATCCAGGAGAGCTCGGAGAGTTAGGCACCCACTGCTCTACCGGCATCCTCTCAGCTTCCGTAGTCACTTGAAAATCGGCCTCGCCGATCTCCAGAACATCCATGGCCTCGAGCTCTTCGGTGAGGGTCCTAATGTCCGACTCAAGCAGCTCTATCTTATGCGAAGGAATGGTCACCTCTTCCTTCATCAGACCCTCGTAGATGTCCGATACACGGAGCGCCTGATCGAGGAGAGTCTTCTTCTCATTGAACATTTTTGTCTCCAAGCAGTGCTGCTTGAGTTTCCCGAGCTTGACCTCCACCCTCGACAACATCCTCTCCTCGGTAAGCTTCCTCTCAGTCCTGACCGCAAGGGATCGAGAGTCCCTTAGCCTCTTCTTCTCGTTCTTCAAAGCGAGCGCGTGGGACTTGATAATTCCATGCTGAACTTCGTTCTCCCTCCGAAGAGCAGCATTTTGGTCAAGCGTATCTTGCGCGCTC